CCAAGTAAGATTTCCACCCCATCTTATCAGGCTCCATTCCAGAAACAATTTTTCCATGCACCAGATATCACTGAATTCACTGTCAACCCTTACAGCCATGCTACCTTTGAAAGGCCTTTGTGCACCGAAACAAGCACTGTCAGTCTGAAGCTGCACAGCATGGTTGCTAACATTTGGCGTGAACATGGCAGACAGAGGGGAAATTGATAGCCCACTTTGTGGGCAGGGTCCTAGCAGGGCTTGGAGCTGATGCATGACTTGTCCTTCTCCAGGATCCAGTAGTGGAGGCCAGTACATGAGACTGTACCATCTTGGTCTAAGGTGGCCATCCATGTTGATAGTCTCAGTTATCTGAAGGAATGTGCAGCAATGTAGGAAAATGTCCTTCTCCATTCTGACAGTTTAAGATCTTCTCACCAGTACCTCTTACTCACTCTTTCTCTGTTCCTTTACACAATTCCCACCAAGGTTCATTCTCTATCAGTCTCACCATTACTTGCAAGATCTTCCCACTCACTGTCACCCACCACAATCCCCAACACTACTAACTCTGCATGCCTTCTGCACTGCCTGATCACTCCCTCAGAACATCTTCCCACCTGCACCAACAGTAATAGCTATGGCTCCTACTTCCATCTCCTATAATATTTGCTTCTGTCTCATTTCAAGATGAGGTTTCGAGTACAGGAGCAGGGATGTGTTGTTGCAGTTATACAGGGCCTCGGTTGGGCCACATCTCAACTATTGTGTGCAGTTCTGGTCTCCTTTTCTGAGGAAGGATGCTTTTGCTGTCGAGGGAGTGCAACGAAGGTTTACCAGGCTGATTCCAGGGATGGTGGAACTGACGTATGAGGAGAGATTGACTAGGTTAGGATTGTTTTTGCTGGAATTCAGATGAATGAGGGGGGCATCTCATAGAGACTTATAAAATTCTAACAGGACTAGACATGGTAAATGCAGGGAGGATGTTCCCGATGGTGGGTGTGTCCAGAACCAGGGGTCACAGTTTGAGGATTCGGGGCAGACCATTTAGGATGGAGATGAGGAGACATTTCTTCACCCAAAGAGTAGTGGAATTCATTACCACAGAAAGTAATTGATGCCAAAACATTGAATGTATTCAAGAGGTGGCTAGATATAGCACATGGTGCGAATGGGATCAAAGGTTATGGGGAGAAAGCAGGATTAGGCAATTGAGTTGTGCCATCAGCAGTGATCGTGAAGAATGGCGGAGTAGGCTCGAAGGGCTGAATGGCCTCCTCCTGCTCCTATCCTTCTATGTTTCTATGTAAAATAGCCTACAATAGGGCAGAGGGACTCAAGATATATGATGTGCTGACTGTGGTTCAGCTCTTCACCATTCATGAGGAAAGTTTTCCGACTCTAACCTCACCAAGCAGGACCTGGTCTAATACTGAAGGCTGCCTTTGACTTACAGTGCTGGAGCCTGTGAGCAAAAGCTATGCCCTTTGATTGACTAATTCCTTCTGACAACTATGATGAGTTTCCTATCTTCAGATCTGTGTTAAATGGCACAGCCAGACAGAAGCAATACAAGCAGGCTGAGGATGCAATGCGTGAAAAGACAAGGCAAGGAAATTAGAGCTGGGAATGCTGTGAGCTTCCAGGTAAACTGAGAGTAAAGTGCTATGACAGCAAAGAGCCTTGAAGCGCAGCCTCACTCATTCTTCTCTCTCTCTCTCTCTCTCTCTCTCTCTGTCTCTGTCTCACACATGCATACACACACACAGATACAATGATTAGATACAGATAAAGGTAAAACAAAATGGTTGCATATTATAATTATCTCGGGCTCCTTTGTGGCAGTCCCATAGTTTAGAAAATGAAGATGTTTAATGATGAAGTAAAAGTCTTGCAATCCAAAAGATTCTCAGTAAGCCATGAATTTTGTATCATTGAGTTTCCAGCATGTCTGTCCTAAAGTGAATTTGAAATTACACCAAGGGGAGGGAGGTCCTTCTTCCATTTCCAAATTGAAATATTATTTATTATCCTGGTTGCTTGGAAGACTTGCAGCTAGTTCAATGACTTTGGGTGAAATTTTCTCTGTGGCAGCTTCCTGCCAAAGTTTTAAAGTAGACAACAAAATGGTTTCTTCATTATGTACCTTGAACTGGTTCAAAATCCATTGCCCTGTATTGCCGTTGCCCTGTATTGCCACTGCCCTGTATTGTCATTTGAAACTATTTGAGTTTGAGACAACCAATGTCTTTGTGGTTGAATGACCTATTGGAATTGAAATCACCTTTTTGAATAAAGCTTCAGAGAGGGCATTGAAGCAACTGTCTGGAATATTCATTCAGTGACCTCTCGAGATAGGGTAATGTTTTAAATTCACAAACAATTTAAATTCCCTCTGGTGGTCATCTTTTGCAGGCTTTTGTTCAGTTTTCTAAAAACAAAAGTACTGACTGCAAGTTCATTATATCATGGAACATGATTTTGTTCTTGCCAGCTATGACCACAACCCCTCTTTCCTCTCCGATGCCCTTGAACATTTTCTTGCCTCCAAATTTGTATCCATCTTTCCCAGAACACCATGTCTGAATTCTTTCAATTGGCTTGCTGGCCTGCCACGGTACTGAAGTGGAATGTTTATTTCAGAGACAAATGACATGCCTGTGAAAATGGTAAACCAACATAGTGTCATAGAGTTATACAGCAAGGAAACAGACTGTTCGGTTTAACTCATCCATGCCGACCAGGATATCCTAAATACATCCAATCCCATTTGCCAGCATTTGGCACATATCCCTATAAACCATTCCAATTTGTGTACCCATCCAGATGCCTTTTAAATGTTGTAATTGTACCAGTCTCCACCACTTCCTCTGGCAGCTCATTCCATACAAGCACCACCCTCTGTGTGAAAAAGTTACCCCTTAGGTCCCTTTTAAATCTTTCCCCTCTCACCTCAAACCTATGTCCATTCTTCATCCTTCTTGACCTGTCTGCACTTTTGAAACTGTTGTCCTCCTCCAATGCCTCTGCACCGTTATTCAGATGGTTGGGACTGCTCTTATCTAGTTCCATTTTTATTTTAGCTGGAGAATTGCCTACAATATCTCCTGTTTCTGTTCCACACCATTACCTCTGGTGTCCTCCAAGGATCTATTTTTGAGTTCCCCTCATCCAACTCCTGTTTTGCAACTGTATGCTGCCCATTCGAAAATGAAGTGTTACTTTGCATATGTGTACTGTCAATATCCACTCCATCACGCCAATGCCTTTCTCACTCTAAGTTGTCAGTCTGGGTCTTCAATATCTCACACTGGATGAAGAGACATTTCCTCCAATTAGATTTAGGAAAGCCTTTAGTCACTGCTACAAAATTAATTTCCTAGCCATTAACTCCATTCTTCTTCCTGGCAATTCTATGAGGCTGAACCAGACTATTCACAACCTTGGTGTCAGATTTAGCTCCAAGATGAGAATTAGATCAGATCTTGGCATCAAATGTGATTTCCACCTCCATAACATCAACTGGCTCTATCCCTGCCATAACTTATCCACAGCTGAAAAGCTTTGTCCATGATACCTCTACCCTTCACAAGTCCAAAACATCATGGCTGGTCTCCCAGATTCTATCCTTCATTAAACTAATGATATCCAAAACACTGAGATAACAAGGTGTAGAGCTGGATAAACACAGCAGGCCAAGCAGCATCAGAGGAGCAGGAAAGCTGACATTTCAGGTCGAGACCTTTCTTCTTCTCATTTTCTGAAGAAAGGCTCTCTGTTTTCTGTGGGAT